TTATGGATTGCATTGCTGGATCTGCAGGTTTGGGGCTTTTCCATCCCAGCAACACATTCTGACCGTGCAAACAGGCTGTAACACTTCAGGATCTGGGGAGAGACTGACAGCCCATGCAAACCGTGAGCCTCCCACAGCACAGCAGCACATGCATGGCTCACACACACACACACCAAGCACAGTCCCTCTGCAGTTACACTGGTCTTCAAGGACTTCTCTGGAGTGCTATCCCCATTGTGTGCAAAGCAAACCTTTCAGAAAATGGGCTGGTTTTTTTGCAGGTGTGGTGGGCAATGACCATTGGGCTAAGTGATGCCAGCACTGTCCTTGCGTGCCTCTTTCTGAATGTCATCATTCTTCTGTTTTATACTTGTGCTTGATGTTATTTTCCTCCAATGTATTTCATTTTCTGTTTGTGGGAGCGCACTTGCATCAACACGGCAATTGCCATGAAAACAGGACCGCCTCATCTCAGCTGCAACTTTGAACAAGGTGAGAATGGATTCACTTTTTCGGGGAGGGAAAATGCGACCTAAAAAAACCCACCAGAAACAGAAACAACAACAACAAAAACCCTTTTTTTATATAGCAAAACCTCCCTGAATGTTTGAAGTTTCAACAGCTTGACTAAAAGCAGTACAGCAAGAGACTCAGAATGATTTATAAAACCAGCTCTACGCCTTGGCCGGGCCAGATTTTACCGTGGTTTCTGGTGTTCATTAGCATCTCATTGCACATGTCGTCCCATTGATCCCAGTGGAACAAGCCCACACAATAGAGTTCTATTCAGGAGTGGTGAAGGCAGCCCCTACGCCCATCCCCAAACACTGAGACGTGGCAAAGGTTTGTGAATAGACTGCAGATAATTTTTGTTGTGTCTTCTAGAATTTGTACTAGCCTATTAACTACCCATAAATATTTGCCCGAGACACGCATTGTTTAAAATTGAGATACAAAATGAGACAAGGATTTTTTTCTTTCTCTTTAAAGAGTCACCCATGCTCCCTAATGTCTATTGGGAGAGATTTTCAATAATTTCTATGGCTTTATTTGTTTCCACTATAGATGTTAAAAATTAATCTTACACTTGTTTCCGAGGCAGCAAAACATTTCAATCTTTACTCTTTGTAACGCCAAGGTTTCCATTCGGGCCTAAGAGAACTTTCATCAGCTGAGAAGATTTTACCAAACAGTGGTGCATCTGGGGTGTGTGATGGGGAGCACAGAGGCGGGGGGAGCCTCTCACGCATTCTCTGTCTTCTGCTTTGCATGTAGCTGATATTTCCATGGCTTGCATGGCTTCAAGGTGAACTCAGTAAGCAGCAACCACCTGCAAAAGCAGTGAGGGAAAGGGGTCTTAAAAGCCAATGGGTGAATTTCTGTAACAAGTGTGAGCGGATGGGGGGAGTTTGTGGTGATGTGAGTGCAAAGGACTGTAAAAGATGCGGGAGGCAGGCAAGAAAGACAAAGAAATTTGTCTATTTTCAATGTTAGTATTTTTAACATGAACATGGGCTGAAGAGAAAATAAATAAAGGCTGCTGAGCAGTGTTATTATCATTCAGTGCTGTAACAACTCAGCCTCGGTTCCAAAGTTTGTTTGTCCAGAACCCCACATTGAGCCCTGCACATTGAAGCGTGCAGATCTGTGTATGTGAAATGTGCATCGCAGCCTTTGCTCTGCGGCTGAGTGCAGCGTCGTGAAGGCAGTGCCAGTATTACCAGACATTTAAAACAAACTGATCGATGGGTACTTAATCATCTTTTCTTTTTTTCTTCTCAAATTCTCAGGACAGCAAAATATTTCACAGTTGGCTGAACTACGGCGTGGCTGGGAGCTTTAGAAACATTCACTTGACTTTCTATAAGCTGTTCTCAAAATAACGTGCATGTTTCAATTGCATTTGTTATAGGGGAAAAAAAAGAAAAAGAAAGGAAAAAAAGGGGAAAAAAAGAAAAAATAAAACTATTGATGAAATGCCATTTATTATTTACAGAAGCTAATTTCAGGCTTTTGTCGTATATTAGAGGATTAGCAATTAACACGTCACTCAGTAATCAGTGTCTGACAATTTAAATTTTATTGATAAGTTATCGCAGCGTATTTTTTAAGAACTTTTGCAAATCAGTACTGAAATACAGAAAGTAAAATGTCCTTAATGAACGGCAGCGCGGTGCCCCTCGGCTGTGCCCAGCGGGGCTGTGCGCCCTCAGCAGCAACACCAGCGTGGCTCCATCCCGCCGGCAGCTGTGGGACACTTCGAGCTGAGCACGGTTTCCTTTTTCTTGCTTAATAACGTTCTGCTGTGATTCCGCGTTGCCAACGAGTTTGAAAATAGCTGAACAGAGAAGAGAACGCCCCGCGTTCTGCCGGCGGAGCGTCCAGTCTGGGTTTATCTGGCTGCAGAATTTGAGTACTGTATCAAATTCTGAGGCAACTCGTAATACCCTGCCTCTGCAAAGTAAATACGCGGCCAACACGGGAAATAAAATCTCATCACTTTGGTGAAGGCAGCGTCAGGTGACGAGGAGCATCAATCGGAATTACACCGTCAATCGAAATGCAACCCGGTAATAAACTGTAAGCGCAGCCGGCGGGCGGTTCGGGAGCCTGGGCCGCCCTGCCTTAAAGGAAATGGGTGCCGTCTGCCAGCCCGGCCCGATGGATGCGATGGCACCCGAGCGGGTCTGCGCTCACCCGGAGATGCCGGCGGAGAGCCGCAGCTGAAGCAGGGAGCTTCTCTGCTGCCCGTCAGCAACGCCCTCATTACAGCGCTAACGTGTGTAACTGTTTAACGCTAAAAGCATGGTTGTCCAAAAGCTCAAATTGAATTAAAAGCAAGCAGAGAGGGCGAAAGTCATAAAACTTTATAGGCTCCTAACAAAACCGCAAGAAACATTTAAGCTCTCGGCAAATTACGAATCGGATTCCGAGACGCCGGCCGATAAAGGTCAATGAAGTTACGAGAAGCGAGGTGTAATATTCCTTCAGAGCGATGCTGTGTATGAGAAAAGTTCTCCCGATGTCCCGAAACTCTGAGAATTCAAAACCGGGCGCTGCCTCAAGGCGCACTCGGCACCCTGCGCCCGACAGAGCGCACTGAAGGACGCGCAGCCCCGCGCGGAGGTCCCTCTCAGCCCCGTCCCGCGTACCGTACGCTCGGGCCCCGCTGCAGCCGCGGCTCCGGGGTCTCTTCTGAGCCCCTGCACCGGCGCAGGGAGCGCTCCTTATGCCCCTCTCTCTCCGAGGTCGTCCGCCTTCCGCAGAAAGCGCGTTTTCCTCCCTCTGCGAATCTCTCAGCCTTTATAAAAAAGGATATTAAAAAGAGAAGGGATGAAAGTTACTTTGGGTTAGTTGCCGTCCAGCCGCCGTTTTCACCTTTCTCTCAGCCCCGATGCCGGCAGCATTGCCTTTCCGACTCCCGGTGTTAGTTCCGTCGGGGAAAGTTTCGACGCGGATTGACCCGGCAGAGCGGCCCCCAGCGTCCCACCTCCCGCTTTCACCACGGCTCCGGGCGGAGCCGCGATGCGCTCCGAGCCCCGGCTCGCTGCGGGACGGCCCCGACCAGCCAGGCTGTTCCTGTTTCTCCCCCGACGGCGCTTCTTTTTCCTCTCTCTGTTCCCTCCTCGGCGGCTGATCTCCGTTTTCCTTCCGACGCAGCCGCTGCCTCCGTATGCAGAGCGCATCTCGCTCGGCCCGACCCGCCGGGAGGGGCGGTGGAAGCAGGAACGGGACCGACGGAGCGGCTCTGCGGGAGCGGACGATGGGTCGGCGGCGGCCGAGTCCGG